CTCGGCCACATGCTTCTGTTTTTTCTTCTTGAGCCAGTCCACTTCGAGCACCTCCTTCGTCACGGGATGCACAATACCGCTGAGCGGGGTCGAAGCCGGAAAGCCGCCAAATGCCGTCGCCGGCGCAACTCCCCCCAAGCCGGTCGGATGGTTGGTGGTTCAGTACTCCTTGAGCCAGTGCCAGTATCACAGGCCACTAATTTGCTGGGAGCCGCCACTCGCTCAACATGGCCTTCGTCGCTCGCAACAACATTTTGTTGACCACTTCAATCGAACCATTCGTCCACGGGCTGTAGGCCGTTGTAACGTGGTGGTGCGCACCAACAAGCTTCCGCACTTTCTCCATGACTTCGTTTTTGAAGTGCGAGCCGCCGTCGGAAACCCAAGTTGTCACTACGCTGTCTGTGGTGAACCAATCCATCAACGCTGCTGCGGTTGCTGAGACGTCAGCTACAACTGACGGACACAGACGAATGAACCCGCTAATGTCGTCCTTGACTACCAGCACATGCTTGAGCCCGCTGTTCGAGTCGGGCAGGCGCAACCAAGCAAAATGTATCAGCTCATTTGGCTTCTCCGCATGGAGAGCCGATCCCAGGGGTCGCGACACCATGTCGCCATCAACATACAAGCAATGGAGGCAGCTGCGTACAAAGTCGCCGACGTCTTCCTTGAGTGTCTTCCAGTGAAATTGTTCGGCTACCGATTGGGATGTCGCTACGCGGCGGTGTCCTGCCGCGCCTTGGTGCGCGATCACACGCAGACGATGCTGCAGATCTACAGCATCGTCAAGGATCCATGTCTTGTCATCGATTGTCACAGGAACTTCGTCTTCTTGTTCCACTTTAAACCGTCTGGGGCTAGACCGGGAGCCAGGTACTCCTTCTGTATCTTGAGGATGGACGCAGCTGTAAGCCATTTGAAATCCTTGTGTTGCATGGGCGACACCAACGCAACCAACTTGCGAACTCCAGGACCAGCAGGCACCGAACCCCAGCGGCTCAGCAAGTCGCCCCATACGTTGTTTTCACCGGAAACACTCTCGATCGTGTAGGGGAACGTAGACATGACCAGGGCCCAGCGCTGCAACTTGTACTCTTGGTACTTGGCCATATTCGGGCTTGTCTCCTTGGGTTGAAGATATACACCAGGTTGCGGTGGTCTGTAAACAGGCGGAAGCCACCTGGACGCACCAGCAGGTAACCCAATCGCTTGCACGCTTCAACCACGGCATAAGCCTCCTTCTCCACGATGGGCCAACGCGAGCTTGCCCCTACAAACGAGCCGCTGAGGAACGCCAACGACTCATGGCGCTGCTCGGCTATCTCGAGGTCTAGGTCTTCAGGAGGGACTTGCGTTGCAATGGCTCCCCAAAAGCCATCGCTAGCGTCGGCAAAGAGACACATCACCTTGTCGGATGTGAGAGAGGAACGATTCCGGCCAGGGCCTTCTTCACCACCTCAAAGCACTCTGTGTTCTCGGCAGCCCACCCCATGGCACTGACCGGGATCTTGATCAGTGCCGATTTCTTGGCACTCTTAGCCAACTTGGTTCCTACTTCCAACAGGCGGCGCAACGGGTCCACCAATTGACTGTACTGAGGTATACTTGCGCGCATCCAATTGGTCGCGCACAGGAACTGTTGAAGGTCAGCCGCTGCCGTTGTCTCAGCCAAATCACAGAGTCCCTGGACGCGCGCAGGGGAATGGGTTACACCTGCTTCAGAAATCACCTCGTCACACCACTCGGCTTCACGTTGAAAGAACGCACACTTCTTCAGGTGGAGCTTGAGACCATGGCCTTCACATATTCCGAATACTTGCTCCAACAAATCCAGCAGTTCTTCAGGCGTAGCCTCGGCACCCAACATATCGTCGAGCCAGGTGAGCAATCCACGGAACAGCAGCTCACCAAACATTTGATGGACAGCCGATTGGCAAAACGCCACGGCATCCGTCTGGCCCATCAACACTCGGGTTGGGGTATACACCCCATGGTGACATAAACGAATATAACACCTGGCTGTAGGGGTGCAGCGGTAGCTGCCAGTAACCATTGGTCCAGTCCGGTGAAGTAAACTCCTGTACCCACCAGGACGATCATCGCAGCGTCCAAGTTCGGCATCGGCCATGGCATCGGGACCGTGCAGGCATTGATAGGACGGCTGTCGATCGTCATCCGAAAGTCGCCTGCGTCTTCTTGGGTACGATTCTTGGCGCTGCAGCACACGTGGCACGGTTATTTCGATGCACCAGGCTGGCTGCCTCAAGCTGGTCAACGTGACGCTTGAGGAACTCCACAAGCTCGGGTGGATAGCGCCGCATCGAGCACTTGACAGGCACAGAGCCAGGCTTGAGGTGCACCTTTGGCGGCTCAACCTTGATCGGTGTGTCCGCCCCAACATCCGTCCGGAACACATCGACATACTTGGCAACAAGGTCTCCAGTTTGATAACACCAGCTGGGCTGAGGCCTTGACTCTTGGCTTCATCCACTCTGGTAGCTAGAATGGCTTTAACCTCCGCCTGCTGACGATTCCGGCGTTCCTCGGTTGTCTCACCATCCTGAATGTCCAGTTTTGGTGTCGCGCACTCCATTCCGTCGCCAGGGTCACCGCCTTCAACAACGGGTCTCTCAGCTTGCAAGCGATGGACCGTGGCATCGCCCATCGTGGGTAGGAAACTACTGTCACTCAGGTCCCACTCGGGCTATTGTCGTAGTGCACTAAAGATACCTTTGTTATGAGTCCGCGCCTTGTTTGTTCGCAAGGCGTCTTCCTTTCGGGAAGCAATTACAGTCAGTTCATACGGCCCCTCACACCGAAATGCACCGAAGTGAGGCCGCACTTAATGGGCCTACTGCAACTAGCCCCTATCCTTGGAATTTGGGCTCCCAAGCTCACCAGCCAACCGACCTTTCGCAAGGTTGAGTCTGCTGTGGGTACCCAGAACAGAAGGGCATTTCCAGCAACACTAGGCGGATCAGAATGATATCGACCTCCTCCGCAAAGTTCCGACGTTTGTTGGGCGGTGGCATCCGGGTTTTCCTGTGATCCTAATGATGGCTGTCCCTACATTTCTTGAAAGCCAGTGCACACACATAAGCGTTTGTCGTCTCATTCACATTGCTTTGGAGAACTCATTCTGGCTTTGGCACATCGGGCTGGGGATGATGAAAACGACGACATGTTAAACCATTCAATTGCCGCAATGCAGTCGGTTGTTCGCCGCACAACTTTAGTTCGCAAGACTGCACGATTGTGCTCATCACCCAAGTCCACGGCGGCGGCGACCCTGATAACGTCATTCCATCCCACGTGACGTTATCACGAACGTTGCGCGAGATATCCCCAACCATGGCCGCCACTGTCCAAAAGCGAGACCAAACCGATGCAAGAACGACAACTGACAACGTGTCGCGGTAGGAATGGCGGCCTACAGCGTGAAGGGGCGACGATGTCGTTTCATGATGGGACCCTATCTTAATATCCATCCCAAAAAAGCAACCACATTGCCGAGGGCATTGCTGGCCCCAACCGCGTGACCAGGCAAGGGGAGCTGCCGGTTTGCGGCTCGGAGGACTTTTCGTGTTTTTTGAACGAGCAGCTCGAATGTTTCTTCTTCGTCTTGTGGATGCACACTCGGCCCAGACGCAGAACTGCACAGTGATATGGTACAGGGGGTGGAGTTGTCGATTCATCTCTGGCATGGCCGTCGCTCGGAACCATTGCCGTACGACTTTGACAGCGCGATCGTGCCCCATGCAGTCCGAACAGCTTTTAAAAACTACTACCGCTAGTCGCTGCCACGTGTATTCACAAGACGAGCTTGCCGCCACGACTGGTGGCATTCCTGGCCGACATTTACGTTCAAATCGAATCGTGGGTTGCATGTTTGAGTCTACCTGTGTGAGATATATGGCCACATTTCCAACTCGTCCATCACGCATCAAGCTGCACACGTCTCAAAAAGGGAGCGGCATGTGCGCAACGCATGACGCCCAGGCACTCGCAGGCATGGCGTCCAATGTTGCAGAAGAGATCTGTCGAATGCTGCGGAGCCCGCGCTGGACAGGATTTTACGGTTTGCCACTCGTCGACATGACACAGTTTAACCGCCAAGCTGCGGTGCGAAATAACCACTACAACGTTGGCAAATGTGGTGTTTATTTCTCCAAGGTATGCTGCGCCTTTGCTTTGGAAGCTCTCCCGTGCCGAGGATGCGACTTAGATGCTGACTGCCATTTCCATCGTCTTGGGGTTGAACGACTGGAACGGCTGTACCCGCGTGGCATTGCGGGCATCGACAACTTTGATCTGGGCCTTCACATCGGTTGTAAACGTACGCACGATCGCCTTGGCTGCATCATCTAGCATCACGTGGGAAAAGTCCTCCGTGATGGAAGGTTGCGTAAATCCAGTTGCAGTCATGATGAGGGCAAGGCGGACGGCGTTGCCAGGGCGAGCGCTCAGCTCGCCTTCGACCCACGCGGACGGGCAAAACGCCGGGTCACTCACGTACTCTGCAATCGTGCCCAAGTGGTTGTGCATGCTCGAAACGAGGAAAAATCCCTCGGCCAAGAAGTCCTTGAGATTGGATTTGTTCAAGTCAGGAAGCGGCGCCGGCGATACCGCCGTCAAGTTGCTCCAGAATGCCACCACGTCGTCATCGTGCTGAATCGAGGCGTCGTCGGGGTAGTACAAGTCGACGTAGCTGCTCACAAACTTGATCATGATGTTCCAGTAATCGAGCCCGTCTTCGTGGAACGGAATGGTCAACGTGTCGATCTGTTGCCTGGCAATACGGTCGGGGAACGTCGCGTACTCGAATTGAGACAAACCAAACTCCCACGTGGACTTCATCCCGGCCGTGGTGAGCGCATAGGCGCGCTGGAGCATGCCGTTGGGCCAAAAGAGCGCGCGACCGGCGCTGTAGTTGATCGCGACCGATCGAAACACGAACGGCTTGATCAATCGTCGCAACGGGTGGTTCACCGGCAGCTTCTCGCGCGAGCTCGTGACCAAGTAGTTGGCAGCCGTCGCATGCACGCCGAGCAAGTGGTCCACCGCGGTCACTTTGGTTTGCAAACTGCCGCGGAAACACATTTTCACGTACTCCCATGCAGCGTCCGTTTTCGTGTACTACGTACGATTCCCATGGGACTCGACTCGGTTTTTCCAGCGTACGCACCGTCTGGTCACCGCGCTTGATTTTGACCACGTGCCCGTGCTTATCAAAGAACGCGTCCGCCCCGTACTTGGCAAAGCCCGGGCGCACCTCCAGTCCCTGCATCACGTTGAGTAGCAGACCTACGTGCACGTTTATCTCCGGCCGACAGCGACTGGCATACCATAGTACGACCCATCGTCGTGCTCTTGGGGCAGCTTTTGCACCAGATGCGAGCCCAACCCGTGAAATACAAGGAGCTCCAGCGCACGGTCCGAGTACCGATCGTTCCAGTGCACGTTTACGCGGGGCCACATGTGGCCCACCTACACAACATGTCCCAGTCACGATCGACGCCGTCGCGTAGCACCATGCCAAGCGCAAATTTGTTGACCTGGCATCCAATGCATGCACCATTCATATATGCTCGGATTGGTTTCGTACAACGTCGCCAGCAACGGCGGTCGAAATCCCCGCCACACATCATGTCCTCGCGACCGGGTCAAAATGCGACATACCTTGCTCATGACGTAGCGCTCGCCGTCCTCCGCGGGCAGCCACGGGTGGTCGAAATCATCGACGAACGGGGCGTGATCTCGGAGGAGGTTGGATTGTTGGATCTCGAGCCACGGCTGGGACGGCCAGTCTTCGTCGACGGTGGGAATTTCGATCTGGGTTTGAATCAACGTGATTTTGTCGAGCACGACTTGTTCCATCGGAAGCGACAGCGCCGACTGCGCATACGGGCGGTTCCACACACTCTGCTTTTTTGAAATGAGCTTGATCATGAGCCGGGTCCACAAGTCCAACCGGGAATCGTCAAAGTACTCGGCTGCATTGTGACCTATACAACGCGGCATCATCGTCTGTGGTGAAGAGTAGAAGATTCCACGGTAGCAAGCCCAGTCAAATCCACAGTGCCATCAAAAATGTCACGGGGGGCGGCGGCGGCGGTAGTATTCGCAGCCAACGATTCTGTTCATGAAGCCGAATCAATTCGACACATTGCATCGAAACAAAATCGGCGCGTAGTATGGTCCATGAGCACCAGCGTCAAGAGCACTCCAACCATCTCCAATGGCACGCATCCAACATGCCTTCACATCAAAACAGGACTTGAACGTCCCAACTCGCGACAGCTTGTAAGTGCCAACAGTCCAATGCCAACCATGCCACGGCTTATACACACTTCCCCAGTGGCGTTGTTTCAGCTCACGTTGGTTTGGCATGTGCGCCCCCTACCTGTGAGTTCTTGGACGTCGGGTCGCCGGAGAAATTTCCAGTCGGCATGGCTTCCGACAACGCCGTAGTCGAGGTTGCCCGATCCGTCGTCTTGTTGTCGCTGGAAACCCATTGCCATGAGGAGACCGATGGGGACCGCCGTGACCGAGTGGGGTTGGAGGGTGTAGTTTTGGCCAGGCACCATCTTCCACGTAAAATCAAAGTACGACACGAGGAGGGACTGCATCACGATCGTGGACAGCTCTTCGCCAGCGCATCGGCGGTTGCGCACATCGCCAAACCCGTGTGGACAGAACGAGTACTTGCGAGTGTTTTTGACACCGTGTGCCGCGTCAATGTCGGCGTCGTTGAACCGGGACGGATCAAAAGTGTTGGGGGCGGCCCATACGTCCGGGTCGTGGTTTGTCGCTTCGAGGCCAGCCATGACAAGCGACCCCTTGGACAAGTGAAACACGCCTTTCGACGTCACCAGGTCCACGTCGCGCGCGGCCTTGGCGTAAACTTGAGTCGGTCCCGCGAGAAAGAAGCGTTTGACTTCGAGGATGTACTTGTTCAAGTACCCGAGGTCGTCCAAGTGGCCCCAACGATCGTCTCCAAACTTACTCAAGTACTTGTCGCGGGCGGCAAACACTTGGGCTCGGATTTCCGGGAACACGACCGCCGCCGTGATGAGGTTCGTTGCTGCCGCCGACAACCCTCCAAAACCAGCAAACATGATGTGGAATCCTTCGTTCTTGAGGTCGTCGTCGTTCAATTCGCCGCTGGCGACGAGGACGTCTAGCACTGACTCGAGCGGACCTGACGACGTCGCGTTGACTTGTTGGCGCGCCTTGGCCGCCGCGATAGCCGGCTCAAGGATCTCTGCGATAAACGTCGCACGGCATGTGACGCCATGAGCACTCGTCGTCTTGGCTGACTGCTTGATGGCAGCCACGTAATCCTCTATGTACGTTCGAAATGAATCGAACTCGCCTTCCATGCCGTAGAGGACGGCGAGAAGGATTTTAAAGACTAGGATCTTGGTGTTCAGCGCGAACGAAATCGCGCCACCGTGGGCCGCCCACTTGCTGTGCTCAGCTTGGATAATGCGGCGAATGATGGGCTTGTACACGTCCAGTTGCACCGGGGAGACCGCTCGGAGGAGCGCGTTCTTCTTCGTGCGATGGACTTCCCCGTCCATCGTGACGAGAATCGGTCCCAAAAGCGCCAAGATCGACGGGGGAAACGCACCTTCCCGCACCAGCGCTCCTTCCAGCATCTTCTCTTCGAACTGTTGGAGAGCTTCTGGACCGCACAAACCTGCAATCCGCGTCGTGACGAACGCGCTTTCGACAAGAAAGATGTCGCCGAAGTGATCGCGTGCACTGAGGAGAGCCGTGCGGGGGTCCTTCGAGAAGGCGATGAGTGTGCTCAGCGATGTGGACTCCTTTGCTACGAAGCTTGATGCGGACGCGCCCATGCTGCTGTCGTTCGCTTGTAGACGGAAAAGCGCAGAATGAAACGTCGTTGTGACGACCCAAAAGATGATTTGCAGTGCTGTACTAGATAAGCGAATTCGCGTTCAATGTTCGAATAAAACGATGAAAATCATGTGAAAACGTGCCGGCTTTTGCTTATATCAGTGCCCTTCGCGAGCGAAACGGTCGGTGTCGTACTGGTGGCATCAGCCGATCCAGTCGACATAAAAGGCCCATCTCAGCTTCATGCACCACTGAACAGCCAATCAAATGTGGCAAAAGTTGTGAATTTTGAGTACTTTTAGCCAATCGAGTTGGTTTTCCAAATATTTCGAGTGTGCAGTTTGAAATAAGTGGGAAAAAACGGATGTGGTGCAATGAATGCATCACGCCCTCTGCGACCTTGCGGTATATCACCAACACGCAAGCCGAGATCACAGAGCTAGTGCGCCACATGCCAGAGAGGCGACGCGCCACCATGCACGAGATTGCTGAAGTCACCGGCCTGTCTATCAAGGTTGGGGCGTTCCTTTCGAAAGCTGCGGTGGAGATTCCCAAAAGACTGGCCGGTGGCTTCAGTAATCTCGGGCGTGGTGGAGCGCTGCGTCCGGCATGTTTCGCACAAACTCCGTGATCTCGCCTGGCGTGCAGGTCGGCTTTCGCCCAACCCGGCCACGTTTGGATGATTGCAAAGTACCGCGCTGGTGTGCCCGATGCCGAAGCAATGGTTGCACGACGGATGCCCATGGAGTCTGCGGTTGCGTTGACGACGCTGCGCTCAAACTTGCCGTTGGCCTTGCGTTGGAGGAGCTGCACGATAGCCGCAATGCTTTTCGGCAGTGCTGCGCCCGCTGCTCGAACCGACCGTCCCGACGTGTGCTACGACGATTCGTGTCTTTTTTCTGGTTCGAACGAATCGTGGTAACGTCATCATCCCACTCTGGGTGTACCTCTAATATTTGATTCTCTTGAAAACTTGATTCATCAAATTTAGGCACGAAATCAAATTTGGGGGGGAGTACATGTGTGCAAAGGTCACATGCGACCAGAGTGCCGAGACCAAAGTAGCAGTGGCCGCAGCGGATGCGATGAGGAAAGCTTGCCATGAGCACCACGAACGCTCAACGCCCACGGCGACGTGCGAGCATGGCGCCACGTCGGACGGAATGCATTTGCTGGATTGCCAAACATGCCACACACAGTGAGCACAAGTTGAAAAAGGGGGCGGGATGGTCGACGTGCAGCGAGGGTTGATGGAGCACTTCTTGATCGATTATAAAGTATTCGTCAGGTTTCGCGCTGCCGGAGCTTGTCCACGAGAAGCTTGAGACGATGCGGCCATCCTTTATTGCGTCCACGCTTGCAGTTCGTGGTCGGAAAACAACGTGCAGTTGAAGCGATGTTGCAAGACCTCGACAAACATGCGCACAGCGACGGGCAAAATATCGTCGTTGAAGTCGTACTACACAACCAACAACACGTTGTCAGGACGTGATCGCGCATCGCGGCGAGAAGACCGACCGTGTCGCTGTGGACGGATCGATTTTGGCTTTGCGCCTAGGGCCAACTTGAGATTCCAATACGACATGGGATCATCTCAGCGACAATTACCGTGTCGTTTGTTCCAACAAAGTAAAAGCAGCCTGGAATCGTTTGCAAATAATAGGCAAAATCCTCGGACGCGCAAAGGGGAAGGCCATCCGCGGTCACTTTTGCCGACCCCACGACCTTTTGCGCCACCTTCGTCACAATGTCCGCCTGCGCCGACGCATTGACCACTACTGGATACCCATCCTTGAACGAAATCGCCCCCTCGACATTGTACGCTTTGGACGTGTGCTCGACAATCTCGGCCATGCCTGCAAAAAGTCTCGGTGACCTCTCCAACGCAGTGTCGTCCGATCGGAATCGGCGCAGCTCACACGAAGCAGGATATCCAAACACACAACCCAATACACACCAAGCACACCATCGAGCGCCGTGGCTGCGCTGGCCATGCACGCACGAAAAACAGAGCGGCGTCCAAGCGAACGCGCCGCCGTCGAGCCATGCCATTCCGAGCAATCACGTACGTTTCTGCATGAGGGCCGACACGGCCGGCGAAAAATCACGCAACGTGCCAGACAACGTGACGACGGATGGAATGACGTTGTCGGCTTCGCCGCCGTGAACTTGGGTGATGGAGAGCACGCCGCTGTCATGAGCAGCAACGTTGCGGCTCAAAATGGATTGCATCGCGACAATGATGTGCCCCGCCGCCACAATCGGATCCTCAACTCGATGTGAAAAATAAAACGCCACGTGCCCGAAAACTGCACCTGCGTTTGGTGCGGAGCCGATCCGTGGCCGCCGGGACCGCGAATTTTGATCGAAAACCGAGCGGAATGCGACATCATCGGCCCCGCCTTCACGCGGATTTCGCCCACGGGATACGGGATGTTGTGGTACCTAATCGAGTCGTCAGCATGCCGTCGCCGACACATTCGCGACGTAATAGGACCCGTAGATTTCGTCCACGCCGTCCAGGCACCCATCCTGGATCATGGCGGGGGCTCCAAAGTGGCCTTCCTCAGCAGGCTGAAACAACAATCGCACCGTCGTGTGTGGCGGGAGCAAGTGGCGGTGGGACTGTACGAGCGTTGCAAACCCCAACAGAGTCGCCATGTGCCCATCGTGACCGCACATGTGAGCGCATTGCACGGCTGTCGACTTGTACGGCAAGCGCGGGTTCGCCTCAGTCATCGGCAAACCATCCATATCGGCACGAAACGCGATGCACGTCAACGAAGTCGTCTTGTCTCCATCCGTGGGACCGTGGATGTCCACAACAAGGCCTATTTCACACCGGCGTGGTGACGTTCAACCATCGCCCACGAGAGATTCCACCCACCGGTCGTCGCGACGCGTGTGATGTTGTCCTTGGGGATGCGGGACTCGTTCACCAAATACGCTTCCAGGCGCTCTTGAGTTTTAAACTCCTGGAAACTCACTTCGGGGTGCGCGTGGAGCTCGTGGCGCGTTGCACGGAGGCCGCCAAAGAACGCGGCAATGTCCATCGTCGCTGTCATGTCGAATTGTTGAGAGCAATTGTATAAAAACACCAAAAATAGCAATATTTGATCAATTTTTCACAATTTCGGTGCCACCGGCAATTTGAGCACGTCGCCCCCATGAGCACGACGTCGTCCGCATGCCGCACTCTGTCCGCGCTACGCCAGAGTCGAATGCACATCTCGCAGTGCATCGGGAAAGCCCGAGGAAAAGGGTGAAGGAACCCGCGGCAACAATTGCCGGCATGCTCAACTTCGTCGAGACATTCCATTGAATGTACTCAGTGTCTCATCGAGGGGCGAAGGACGCGTTCCGATCCAAGCAAACGGGTCGTCCATCCATTTCAATGGCGGCGTACTCCGTACCTTCATTCGAACATGGCAGAGCTGCATCGACAGTAGTGCTGTGTCCTTGTCGACGTCGCCATTCCATTCCAACCTCCGACAAGGTCTCCACGACCATGTTGTTGTGGCCCCGGAAACCTCAAACGTCGAAACCCGTTGGCGGACCTGCGCCTATGTTTGCACAGGGCGATCGCAGTCGATTCGGAATGACGCCCGCAGGTCGCTCGCACCGGCATTGCCTCCGTCGTACTAGGACACTTGAAGGATTTGATCGAGTTCATCGACGTTATCTGTCGTGGCACGAGGACCATGTGCACTGCGTCGGCGGCGCAATGTCCACGGGACGTATACGTCGACGACGATACTGCACACACAGTCGATGCTCGTCAAGCCATCCACAGAGTCGATACGAACGAAGCTCGGGCCAAGGCCAAATGGTGGGGGACAACTTTGCAGCAGAGCTACGAGGCCAATCAAGTCGACCACCGTGGGTGGGAGGTACAGAGTGGAGTTGTGCGCCGTCGGTGACATGCAAACCACGAACAAGACGGTGCAGTGGTTGAACTGGACAAGATCGTCCCTACAAATCGATTGCCAAGTCGCCTGCGCTTGCTCTGCGTCTCTGCCGCAGAGCAACGCACCAGCAGAAATACGCTCAAAGCAGCCAGCAGGCAGAGTGGATGCGCCATGGAGGCAGAGATGCCGCCATTCTCGGCAGGACCGAGTCCTTGCACCAGAACGTGCCACGTATGGGCCACGTCGGTTCAAATAAGCCCATCTATTTTGACGTGGTGGCTCCCGCCAGTCGTTTTGGTAAAGGTCGGGACGATCTTGGCTGGGAGTTCACTTTTCTTTGACCCGACACGCGATGGAGTTCGACGCGCCAACGTTTGCCACGTCTGTGCTATCGCACGACCTGTCCAAGCCGATCGTGGCCACCGCCGCGCTGGCTCCAGGCCAGGTCATCTTTGCCGAAGTCGCGTCGATCGTATCGGCCGGCGGCTACAGCGACGATGAATCGCACGAGCCCGATTGCGACGACGACGATTGCGGCGGGTGCTGCGAGGTCGATAACGAGCACGACGGCACCCAACTGGATGCCGACGACTTAGCAGCCGTGAGCCCGTATGTGGCCGAGCATTACGACGCTCTCGGGGCTACGTGTGACTCTCTCGCTGCGTTGACCAGCGTAGACAAGCGGAAAACGCTATTCAAGCTCTTGCACATGGCAGCCAACGACGTGTCGTCGCCACTTATCACGTCCTTGCTCGCACTGGACGTGAGTGCCAACCACCATTTGTCGGCGAGCATGGATGCGGCCAAGGCACTGCGTGCCAGCCACGCCGGCCTCATCCCTTCCGTGCTGTCGGACGATCAAGTCGCCCACGTCATCGCGGTTCTGAACAAGCACAGCATTCCGCTGGAGGAAGTCGATGCCGTCGGTTTGTTTGTGGTCGTGCCAAAACTCAAACACAGTTGCGAGCCGAACGCAGCATACACGGACTCGGGCGACGCCATCTATGTCACAGCGATCCGCCCGATCGCGGTGGGCGACGCCATCACGGTCGACTTTTTCGACTCGTTCTACATGACAGTGGCCGACCGCGCCCAAGTCTTTCAAGAAGAAGGCGAACCTCCGTGTGGGTGCAGCGTATGCAATGGCACCGCTCCGGACAAGTCGCGGTCGTTCCGGTGCCAAGTCGCCGGCTGCGACGGCATCGTTCACCCGACCAACGCTGTGTTTGAGTGCACCAAGTGCCATGCAACTTGGACCGACGCGACGATCGCGGCCGCCGAGGCCGAAGAGAAGGCGCTCACGTCCGACCTGGACAACACCGAGAACTTTGGCCAACTCGACGCGATCTTGAAATCGTCCAAGCTGCACTTGTACCACCACATCTTTTACACGGTCATGCAAGTCTTGTCGGAAGAAAACGTGGTCGACATCTCGGACGACGTCGCGCTCTCGATACTGACGCGACAAATCGACGCCCTCAACTACGTCGTGCCGTTTGCGCATTCGGAAAAGGTGTCGCTGTACGATTCGATTGCGCAGGCGCACATTGCGCTCGGCGACATTGCCAAGGCAGCCGACGCGTACGCATGTGCGCTTGCCGTGTGCCACGTCGTGTTTGGCAGCGACAGCAAAACGACTCAACTCTTTGCCACCCTCGCCAGCAACACCCCCAAGTCCGTGGACGAGATCCCCGCCGCGTACGGCCTCGAATGGATCGATGACCCACACGATTTCGCGTAACGACATAACTTAGCTCCCATATTTCTTCCGCACATGCTGTGGCAAGGCTGTGATATGTCATGCGCACACCCTTGAGCAACCAGAGTTTTCGTGTCCGCCAGGTCCGAACGAGCAGCATTCGAGCGAATCCAATCGTGCGATGATGCAGATGCACACGCATCTCTGATCGGCGGCGTCGGGGGCCAATTCCGCGCGATGCGATTGCGGTCCTGCCGGGTGTCTCTGCCGTGCATACCTAATGGTGTTTGTGCAAGTCGAGAGGACATTTCAACCGTGTGCAAGCCGACCTCGCCACCAGGCTACATCTGCTGCCTCCACCCCGTCGTGCTTGGTCCCGCTGATACGTACCTCTGGTGCAGCTGTGCACGCTCGCTCGCCACCACGAGCACACCGAGTCGCCGTGGTCTGCACAACCACCACATGACAGACCCTCTCTTTCGTTGACACCAGCCAAATCGGGGGAGATTGGAAGGATGGTGCGGTAACAAAGTCATGGGCGGCTGCATCCATGGAGCACCTCTACAGACCCTGGCCAAGATTCACATTCCAGGCCACTGGAAACCCGTCATGGCGCGCTGCTGGCACACGCGCGGACCATCGCACTCGAGGCACAACAATCACAGTGGCTGGCTTCGTTGCCAGCATCTTGAACGTAGGCATGTCCTGGTGGTGCCATCGCGCCGCGACGAGGTGCTGGCGCCCAACCGGTCAAATTAGCGCGACCACAGCCGAATCTGGACCGACGGACGTGGGCGGGTCGACGTGGCAGAGCCGCCCATGCCCAATGTTGAAGTGGATCGGTTGGCTGCGATGTCGACGGCGGGCTGCTCGGGTGCGTTGGCTTTTCATTTTGCGATATCTTTCAACGCGGCGACCGCCCCCCCGCCCTCCGATGGAATTCGACGCCCCGACGTTTGTGGAAGCCCTTGTGTCCCAGGACATGGCCAAGCCGATCGTGGCCACGGCGGCGCTGTCGGCAGGCCAAGTCATCTTTGCCGAGGCCGCCACGGTCGCGTCGGCGGGTGGCATGGAGCCCGAGGAAGGGTTCCATGAGGAGGACTGCGATGACGAAGACTGCGACGGGTGTGCTGCCATCGACGAGGACGATGCGGCCATCGAAGACACGTTGGACGAATCGGAACACGACGAAGTCAGCGCTTACGTCGTCGAGCACTTTGCCGACCTCACGGCGGCGTGCGAAGCGTTCGAAGCGCTCGCGTCGTCCGAAGTGCGCAAGAACTTGTTCAAGTGCTTCCACTTAATTGACGTTGACGCCAAGGCGGGCGACACGTTCCTGTCGTTGGACGTGGTGGCAGCCGACATTCCGGCAACGTTGGATGCGGCCAGAGCCCTCCGCGAAGCCCACCCGGCAGTCATCCCGGCCAGCCTCACCGACGACCAGGTTGCCCACCTCATCGGCGTCCTCCACAAGCATAGCATTCCCCTGGAAGACATTGGCGGGTCGGGCCTGTTTTTCTTTGTGTCCAAGCTCAAGCACAGCTGCCGCCCCAACGCTTCCTACACGGACTCGGGCGACGCGATCTGGGTCACGGCCATCCAACCCATCGCGGTGGGCGAAGAAATCACCGTCGACTTCTTCGACACGCACTACATGTGCCTGGCCGAGCGAAAAGAAGTTCTCGCCGAGGAAGGTCATGTGTGCTCGTGCGCTGTGTGCACGGGGACCGCCCCAGACCTCACGCGCAGCTTCAAATGCCAGGCTGCCGGCTGCACGGAAGGCATCGTTCACCCGACCAACAACGTGTACGAGTGCATGACGTGCCATGCCGCGTGGGACGCCGCGACGATCGCGGCCGCGGTCGCCGTCGAGGAAACGTTGATGAAGGAGCTCGAAATCGACAGCGTCGACCAGCTCCTGGTGCTCGTGCAACAGTCGCCGCTCCACCGCTTCCACCACATTTTCTACTCGGCGCTCGAAGTCCTCTTGGAAGACCAAGTCGCCGACCAAAACATGACGGAAGATCAAGCGATGGTCCTCATGAACGCGCAAGCGGAAGCGCTCGACTACGTCGTCCCGTTTGCGCATTCGGAAAAAGTGTCTGTATACGATGCCATCGCGCAGGCCCAGGTCGAAGCCGGCCGCATTTCCAACGCCACTGACGCCTACACCAACGCGTACCACATGTGCGTGATGGTATTTGGCCCAGACAGCAAGACCACGATGCTCTTCAAGAACTTGATGGACCACACCCCGACCAACGCCGACGAAATCGCCGCCGCCTATGGCTTTGATGACAACGACGACGACGAATAAGCAAGTCGCCATCGACCACGGACAGTGTGTGTGTTGCGTGCACGCGTCCTTTCGAATGGAAAAAAGGGCTCGCCGCCATCATCCCCAAATCCCGATAAATTAAGAAGTGCCGCCTCCCATTCTTGCGTTGTCTACACTTGACGTCGCGATGGCCGAGTCCGTTGTCCACGGCTTTGATTCGGCCTGCGTCCGGGCGGCACAGCGGACACGGTGCGCGTCGTCACTGCTGGCCGTCTGGGTTGCGGTGGCGACGAAGCCGTCAACGTAACAGAACGGTTCCAGCCACAAACGGCCAACTCGATTGTATGCCAAGGGGATGCGATGCCAAGAGCTTCAACGTGTATGGAGATATCCGCAGCCGTCTCAGTGGAGTGCGCCGACAGCTCGAGTGTGCACTGGACGATAGAATTCTCGTCCCACGCGAGAATGTGGACGCGGCCATGGTAGTGGAGCGCCATGCCGTGGTTTTCCATCGACCATCGTTCGTGCAGTTGAACGACGTGGTCGCGCGCGCTTCCCATCCCTCCCGTGTCCTCGATTCCGACGTCGCCTTCCTTCCACTGACCCCGTTGCTGCTGCTGTTGGGAAATGCGCACACTCGCCACTACCAACGACGGGGAGCTTGACGAGAGCATGACCATGTTGTAATGTCGAGAGATATGAGCTGTCGACTTGTTTGAGAGTCACGTAGGCATGCACGTTCTGCAGCAAATACAGCACGCCTCGCTCATGGTGTCGAGTCAAATTTGAAGCGGCTCGTTCCAAGTCGATCCAAGGAAACGACGTACGTCGCCTTCCCCTCCATAGGACAACACGTTCCATGCAGCCCTACACAGGATTCTCGTGAGCTTTGACGAAGGCGAGCGCGCGAATGATGGCTCGGACCGTGAAACGCGGTGTTGTCTTGGAGCGCTTGGCGCAACAGGTCGTGTGGGGTCGTGCGATGTCTCGACGGCGCAGCACGACAATTCAGCATGGTACAAGCGCGCTAGAGGATACAGTTGCGCGGGCAGAACATCCAAGCAGCCCCGAGTAGTGCCAGTGCGTGGCCCGCCTCGCTGACGTTTGCGTCATGCAATTCAATGGGTACAACAGAGTCGTTCATGCCCACGATCATCACGAGAATGGAGAAGACTTGGTCAAGCAGCGATCGCCACGAAAAAGGCTGCATCTCGCTCTCAAGAAACCCGAGGTTGAACGCCCGCTTCCCATCCTTGGCATGTCGCCGGCGGTTGGTGGTCCCAAAATGTACCGACTGCTGTATCGAAGACGGCCGCCGCTGGTGTGTCGGCGGCTTCGTGGCACACGGGCGTCTGCGCGCGGAGCCGTCGCCACCGGCCTTCCGGCCACGATTCCAATGAAGGCGTGTTGCGATCTCACGGCATAAACTCCTACTTGGTTCTGCATGAAGTTGAAAGGCCGGTCGTTGTCGCTCGAGTTGTCGCAGTGGGTGATGCGCACCATGCTTGAACGGCTTCGACAACAACCGAGCGCGCATGTCGACGCGAGCGTTCCGGTCGATGGACAAGCCCACTTCAAGCACACTACGTCGGCTTTGATTGTCGTCGCGCCTCGGGACGCAGCACCATCGATAACTTGTCCATGGCTTCCAGCGCAGCAGTGCGCGACGAGTGCTTGCACTGGTGAAACATGAGATCAGCGTTCTCGATCGCATCGTCGTTGGTGGTCAACCGGCAAAACCAGAGCGATGTGTGGTTGCCGAGCGATTGTTCGTGGCGTGCGTCAGCGCGTGACTGAAGAGTCCTGGCGCCCTGGCTTGGCATGTCTCCTTGTTTTTTTTGTCACCTAGCTGGCTGTGAAACGTGGCCGACCATGGGAAAATTTGTGGACTGTTCAGGACACGTGAGCTTGACGAAGAAGGTGCACACATGAAGGAGCGCCTTCGAACGCACCTGGACCTCCATGACGTTTGCAAAGTGGACAAAGGAAGCTAGGGCAAGCTCCCCTACGAGCGCTGGCGGGGAGGTTGTGCTGCGTTGCTTGCCGAGACGTCGAACGACTTCAAGGTCGTTTGCGTCAGGTAGGGAGTGCGACCGCATGTTGGCATTCCAATGGGTAGAGCTCAAACTGAGCCCAAGGCGCAACCTGTCATTGCGTCGATAAGCATGTCGTGCCGCATGTGCGCCGTGCGCAGAATGGGGCTTTTCCTGTGGTCGTTGCAACATGGGGCGAGGAGACTTTAAGTTGGAACCAAGATCGTGTGCCAAGTGGCAACGGGGGAGGCACGTTGAGAACTGACGATCAACGTGCCCAACGCTTGTCGACCATGCAGCTCGTGCTCGGGTTCCCTGTCCATGCGGCGAAAACGACCGCCATCTTGGCGCAGGTAAAGTTGACAAAGATGGCGCTTCGTGCACTCGCGTCGACGATTCCACCTGCTGGTCGCGAAGCATCCGTCTTGGAGATGCATGAAGTCGATTGCGTGGCACGGCCGAGATTTCCTCAAGCAATCGTCCGCTAGCCACAGTGCCACGGCTAACGACCAACGCGCGCGCCATCCATGCACCACAAACAGGTTTTTGTCGCACGGGGCTCATGCCGACCACTCGATAAACACTTGATTGATCTTACACTGAGAGGGCATATCAAATGGTCGGCATGATCGTGCGGCAAAAAAAATCAACCAGGGACGCGTCTGCACTTCCGATGCAATCCGTTGGACCTGACATGGTTCCATTGAACTCTCCTACCACACGTTGCCAATGGTGCTGTGCGACGATTGCGCACGGTCCAACGGGTCGGGGCTCTCTTCATCGTTTTCGTTGTCTCGGTCGTCGTCATCCACTTCGTCGTCATCGTCTTCAAAGCCGTACAAAGCCGCCATTTCATCGACCGTCGTGGGGGTATTCTCCGCCAGCTCCAAAAACATCTTCGACTCGCCGCACGTTGACCCAAACACACGACAGCTCATGGCGTGCGCAGCTTCGTAATGCATCTTGGCCGTGTCAATGCGCCCCAGGCCCACGCACGTTTGAGCCATCAGGTTGAGCAGCTGCAACTTGGACGCGTGGGGATACGTCACAACATAGTTGAGACTGTTTAGCAATTCCTGGTACACCTACAACATGCAACACACGTCACCTAGCGCCGATTCCTTTGCACAGTCGCCTCGCAGGATGTCGAAACGAATGCCCAAGACCATGCAGCAACTCAAGAAAAACTCGAGACATTCAAACATCACCACGAGAAAGAGGGTTTATACTGAGGCCATGCACGAAAGAAAATTTTTCCATCCAACCATGCGTTGGGTCGCGAGGATTTTACTGCAATTGTCGTCGCCAGGAGCGCCATCACTTGGTCGTTCTGGTTGGAATCCTGCGTCCCCAGCTCAAGATAGCATTCGAATGTCCGAGAAACCGATGCGTCGAATACGAAATCCCTGCCGCTCGGATCGGTCCCAACAACACACAATATCATGTACAAGGAAAGAATTGTCATGCGGGGATAGATGGGTGGTCGCAATTCAACTCGCAATCTGCGCATTCGACGAAATACAACAAAACAGCATAACTCAATGTGGGGTGGTGGGCACGACTCAACAGCCATGCATTCCAGCACATCCCCGGCATTCAAACACGTAGCAACCCTCCATTGCATCATATTCCTTCACAAAATTGACGTACCACCAGGGCTTGTTCAGGTGTGAGGGTTTCGTCGATGCTTTCGCTCATCAAGGTCGAGCACGTCGTGTAGAAAATGTGGTGGTATGCGTGGAGCATGGACGCGTCCATGATCTGGCGGAGCGACGCCGCCGTAAAGACTTCCAGTTCCTCCATCAGAGTGGCTTCCTCACCAGTCGCTTTGTGCACGAGCTCGTTGTCCCACACAGCGCCACACGAAGCGCAAGCAAACACATCTTTTGTCGGATGGACTATGCCATTCGCACAAGACACACACTTGAACGCGCCTGCCAGACACCCCGCTCTCGTCAGATAGCGACAAAACGCCGCAGTCGAACGTACGAGTCTTGTCGGGCAAGTGGCCGAGGCACAGGTCACAGTGGCAGATACACTTCGCATCGGCGAGCACAGCTTGCCGCTCCATCCACGGCTGGTAGTAAAAGTTGTAAAAATCCACCGTCACCGCTTCACCTGCCGCAATCGGCGCGATTGCGGTGACCCACAACGAGTCCCCTGCATCCGTAAAGCACGCATTTGGCAAGCAACTGTGCTGAAGCTGCGACACGTAAAGGAACAGACCCGTGCTGTCTATCTATGCATGACGTCGTGTGAACTTCGACAGCATCAGAGTGAAGAAAGAGCGACCTCGTCAAGCGGGATGCTATACTTGTTGACGACACCAATGAGATGGGCAAGATCGTTCTCGGACAAACCAAGCGGCACAACATTGGGGTGTGCGGCACGGAGGCCGATGGCGGCGTCGAGAAAGGACGGGACTGGATCGTCCGCCACGGGGAGATGGAGCAAATCCCGAAGACTTGTGGAGTCTAGTTCGTAGAGATGCAAGAGCTTGAACAAGTTTTTGTGCACGTCGACGGCCTCCAATGCCTCCTTGGTCTCACAATACGTCATCAGCGCATCAAAATCGTCCACGACGTCGTCGCTGACCTGCACAAGACCGACAGAGTCAATCCACACGACGTCGATGCACGCATGCTCACCTGATGCATTTCGTTTTCGTCCAGGTTGGACACCTCGACGCAACCTTCACACTCTTCGTCGTCGCACACCTCTTCGTGATGCCCCTCGAGGAGAGTTGGCCCAGTCGACGAAACGAACGCCGTCTCATAGAAGATCACCTGGCCTTCACGCAATGACTCGGTCGCCACCAAAGGCTTGGACAAGTCGCACGAGATCGGAGCCTCTGGCACAGCGAGCGCGTCTGTCGGAAGGGTCATGATGCCACAGTTGGTTCACCTGGTAATTGCACACAAGAAGCAATAAAATATTAGAGGTAGTCGTAGAAACACAGAAGGTAGTAAAATTGCATTTATCAGGCCAGCAATAATTAAAACGTTGTTCATGATAAATATTTGCACAAATGTATAGCAACCAACGTCATAGGTTAAACGCAGGACAATCTCAACTTGACGCAAGAAACCCTAAGGCTGTAATGTGCATTCTATTCCGCCTCACTCCCCTACTCACAGATTCGCGATGGATCGATCATCTTCGGCCTCGTCGTGCAGGATGTAGAACACTGGCGCGTTGGTTTTGATAAGAGTGCGCTTGTCGACGTTCTTTGAGGTCAGGCGGTTTCGAAGCTTGGAATGTAGAGAGCCAATGGTGGAGAGTGCTGCTCTGACTTGGCACTCGACGTCGCCACCTGAAAAAGCTGGATTACGATCTACCGCTGCTCGGGCCAGTACTTAAAATTGTCTTGACGCCATTGGTCAGCATCCTGAAGCGCGACGAGTCTGCGTTCTTTTCTTGTTCCGCCGCAATCGCAAACTCGGTCCACTGCACGGCAATGGCTTACGCTTGGCTTTCATCCCATGGCTCGCTGTGCTCGTCGTCAACGGGGAACTTGAACAAGAAGGCCACGAGGACCCAACTCATTAGTTCTGACGGGCATTAGTGCTACACTCTATACTACTGGTACCACAGAGTATGTTACAATTACAACTATTTTGGACTTCCGTTTAACTGTAAGTTGAAAAGAAAAACCTTTCAAAACAAAGATGTAAATATTCTACTCGTGCCACGCTACATGGGAAAAGAAAAAATACCTTTGATAATAAATACGAGCTCACAGATTCACCCAAAAGAGGTGTTCAATTCTAACGACCCCTTCCTCGTGGTGAGCTTGCAGGACGTTCTGTGAGACACAGTGTTGGCACACCTTTGCGATACACGCGCCATGCCCAGAAGCGTCAGAGAGAATAGCACGGCCTTTGAATGGTTCAGATTCATTCCTATGGTTTCTTTACGGTATACTCACGCTCTCTTTCCCGCCACGAGGAGGCACACGACCAAGAATGCCATGATATCATGTCGATCTGATTTTCGTCGTATCATCCAAAATTCCGGTTTCTTCCGGATAATTCATCTCGAAGCAATCGATATAAAATGGAAAATGACAACTTATCCTCGACTGTCGTGCAACAGGTCCTGTTGTGCAATGCCTTCTTTTCATGTCGCATTGGGTCGCATCCAGTCAACCTGTTCGAAATTTATACTTGATTTTTGTATTACATCGAATTGAACCGGTCTCCCGCAGTCTTCAACAATCCGCGGAATATCCGTGGGCGGGTGATGTTCCTTACAATTTATCTCGCTGTGATTTGGAATAGGCGGGAAATTTTGAAATTTGGGTGGGTACAAATCCAGCCGCCCGCCATTATACCATTCGTGGAATTTGTTGGTTTGTGGCGATCTGATGGTATTTTACATTTCTCGTCGCATCATGGAATTCGACGCACCGACGTTCGAGGAAGCTTCGTTGAAGGTTGACGCCGCCAAGGTCGTTGTGGCCGCAGACGCCTATGTTCCTGGCCAAGTGATCTTTGCCGAAGTCGCCACCGTCTCGTCTGCCGGCGGTGTCGAGCCTGAAGAAGGGTTCCACGACGAACACTGCGAAGACGACGACTGCGCCGGATGCACGGCGGTCACCGATGACGGCGACGATGAACCAGTTGACGAACTGGACGAAGTTGACTTGACTGCGGTACAACCACAATCTGAATATGTGTTTGACAGTGGTCGTTTGTTTCGATCCTCCTGGACGTGCCATCCTGTCATGCTCCTAACGCTATTGCGTACGTGTAGGTCTCCCCATACGTTGTGGAACATTTCGACGAGCTCATGGACACGTGCGAACCCCACGAAGCGTTGTCTCTTGTCGACGTGCGCAAGAACTTGTTCAAGTTGTTTCACTTGTACGAATCGAACGAATCCGCGGTGTCGCCTTTCTTGTCGATGGACGTGCTGGCTGACGACGTCGTGGCGTGTTTGGATGCGGCAAAGGCTCTGCGTGAAGCCCATGCCGGCGTCATCCCTGCATCGTTGTCGGACGACCAAGTTGGCCGCCTCATCGGCGTGTTGAACAAGTATGCGATTCCGTTGGATGACATTTCCGGGTCCGGTCTGTTCTTGCACGTGTCCAAGTTGAAGCACAGTTGCGAACCGAACGCCAACTTCACCGACTCGGGGAACGCGATTTGGATCACTGCGATCCGCCCGATTGCTGTCGGGGAAGCCATCACGGTCGACTTCTTCAACACTCACTACATGTGCGCTGCCGAGCGTTTAGAAGTATTGACGGCAGAAGGCCAAGTGTGCACGTGCGGCGTGTGCTCGGGCGTCGAAGCAGACAAGACCCGCGCGTTCAAGTGCCAAGTGAGTGGGTGCGATGGCTTGGTGCACCCCACCAAGGCAGTGTTTGAATGCACCAAGTGCCATGCGATCTGGGATGCGGAAACCGTGGCTGCCGCCGAGATGGAGGAAACCACCTTCACGACCGACTTGGAAGCCAGCAACTTTGTCGAGCTGGACTTGATCATCCAAGACTCGCTGCTCCATCCGTACCACTATATCTTTTACTCGGCGATGGAAGTCTTGACCGACGACACGGTGCTCGACGTTCAAATGACCGAAGACCAAGCCCTGTCCGTGCTCTACCGCCTTGTCGATGCGTTGGAGTACGTCGTTCCCCGTCCCCACTCGGAAAAGGTGTCGCTGTACAACTCGCTGGCGCAAGCCCACATCAGCAATGGCGAAATCCCCAAGGCCACCGTCGCCTACACCCACGCGTACAACGTGTGCGCGATCGTGTTTGGTACCCAGTGCAAGGAAACCGTGATGTTCAAGGGGCTCATGGAAAACACCCCCACGACGGTCGACGAGATGGCTGCCGCGTACGGGTACGAAGTCGTCCCGGAAGACGACGAAGAGTAAGCTGCTATAGATTTATAATACTTATCCCGATTGTGGTCGTCATGGACAGTTGAAACGTGTGACGTTTATGGACAGTTGAAACGTGTGAAATTCAGGGAAACGAGGACATTTCAAACTTGTGAAACGTCCCATCTTCAAGGCACGAGCGACGCACGGTGTTGTGGGTACGCCACCTTCCATGAACTTCAGGTGGACATGACATGGCCGCAGCTTCTGAGGGAATTGGATGGCACAGCGGAATGAAACATAGCACACGACGGCGTGCGTCCGAGGGGAGTCTCGGATGGTGGGCACTGAACCAAGAAGAACGCGCCAGGAATCAGTTGCATGCTTTGAAAGGGTTGTATGGACCCGACCGCACGACAACATTTCTCGTTGCCCCATAGCTGCAAACGAACAAATGGCAGTGTCCAACAACGCATGTGGTGCATGCGAAAAAGTGCCGAGTTGCCAGGTTGTGCGCAGGTCGACCGCTGTCCATCGTCGCGAACACATTAGTGTGCCAGTCATAGAGGCTCATGGCGAGGCCACCTCGGAACCGTCGTGCTACACGACCTGTGACGTGTTCTCCGCAGCAGCACACGTGGCATGACGTCCCATTCACTCGAAACGATTGACATGTAAGGAATCAAAGCGCCGACGCGTTTTCTACATTTTCCACTTCTGCGAGAAAACCCACTCGGTTGGTTTGCCCGCGCGCAATCATGGACGCACGTCGCCGTCATCGCCGTTGTGCTTGTACACGTGCAATAACGCTTCTTTCGTTGTTGGTGTGTTGGTCGAGAGCCGCCAGTACAGCTGCGACTCGTCGTAGTCGTTGCCGCTGCACAAGCACGACATGGCGTACGCAGCTTCGTAGGCGGCCGTGGCGCCAGGAATGTCCCCGATTGCGACCAGCGTTTGGGCCAAATGGTCGTAATGCTGCACCTTTTCGTCGTGGGGGTATGGCAGCGTATAGTTGAGGCAGTCGAGGAGCCGTCGATAGATCTACGCAAACAAACAGGCTGGAAACACCCTCGAGACAATCGCCACCAACCACACAAATGGGCCGCAAACCCGCCACCGCAGCCATGCAATATCAAGGCCCGCCGCCGTACCTTGGCCAAGTCGACGTTGTCCACGTTCGAGTCGACGCACATTGTGTGCAGGTCGTCGAGCGCCCAAAAGAAGATGTAGTGAAATGGATGCAGCAACGACGTCGCGATGAACTCGTCCAGTTCGACCAGCGTCGTCGCATCCAGTGTCTCAACGATCGCATCTTCCTGTGCCACAGCGTCTTGGATCTGACCGTCGCTCCACTCGACGCGGCACGTTGTGCATGCGTATACGTGCCCCGTCGGGTGTACGATGCCGTCGGCGCACGCTTGGCACTTGAATGCCCCTACGTTGACGTCCGGTGCATGGGCATGTCGTTTTCTTGACGAGAGCAGGTTCATCCAGTCGAGTCCAATACGGTCAACACCACACCGATTTCACGACAACGACGTTCGTCCGCAGACACAGCCAAGCCATCCGCGCCACGGATGCACCCCGCGCGCGCCATCGCACCAACCATCCACTGGACCATCAGCCAACGCAGCAACAACACGCCACCACCATTTGAAAGCCAACACGACGTGTGTACGTACGGGCGAGGTCGGGGGCGCGAAGTTCGCAGAGGTCGCACGTGCATGTAATCTTGTCGACTGCGAGGCACTCTTTGCGCTCGTTGAGCGGTCGGTAGAAGAGATCGGCGGCATCGACCGTCAACACTTGACCCGGCGCAATGTCTTGAATCGCAGTGATCCAAATCGTCGTGCCCGTGACCGTCAAGTTGCAGTTGGGCACACAGCTGTGGGTCAGCACACTCGAGTACACAAACACGCCGCTTCCTTCGATCTACACATGCAGAAGTCGATTCACAGCCACGTGTGGACAGAAAACAACGTGCGAGCGATTTGCCCTCGCACGAATTCCACGCAGGGTATCAACACGGGGCCGTCCGTCTCCACGGTCCGCGCCATGCCGCTGCGCATGCTTGGATCGAACGGCTTGTCAGCAAGCCAGCAAACAATATCGAGCGAATCCATCATTGCAAAACGCGTTCAAGGTGCTGCCATACACACGTTCGTTCCACGGGCGACAGTACCTCGTTAAGAGCGTGACAATACTTGTGGTTGAGCACGCCAATGAGATGAGCGACGTCGTTGTCGGCCAATGTGGTGGGTACAATGCCGCCAAACGACGCGCGGAGGTTGGCGGCCGCGTCGTGGTACTCGGCAAAGTCGTCCGTGTCAATCGGGACTGTGTGCAGCAACGCGAGCGACGGATGCGAAGCATTGACCTCATGCAGACGCAGGAGCTTGAACAAGTTCTTGCGAACGTCCACCATCTTCAAGACAGGCACGCGGTCGCAATGCGCCATGAGGGCGGCAAACGAGTCGAGCACGTGGGGGCTCATGGTTTCGACGTCATCGTCGTCGACGGCGACGGGCGGGCGAGTGTACCCGCCGTCATCGTTCGTAGGCGGTTCGTTCTGGGGCTCAGCGCAGTCGTCGTACTCGTCGTGGTGGTCGCACACGCAACAGTCGGGGTGCATCGAGTCGCCAAACGTCGACGCGACGAGCGCCACCTCTTGGAAGATCGGGTGTCCCGCTGGAATCGCCTTGGTTGCGCGAATCGGCTGCGTGATGTCCTGCGTCACAGGCGCATCGCGGAAGGTTGCGACGTGGCTCATCATGGCGGTGCGACCGGCCAACCTACCTTGCCAGTGCGAATCTGCCGATTTGGAGTGGCGACAGTATAAAGTTTCACAGGTGCTCGTTTTTACAATTACAAACGGCCAGGTTGAATTGCGGAACCGACCCAGCATCCACCTTCGGCCCGCGTCGAGGAAACGTGTGGCTGCGACGAGCTCCAGCGATGGGTCGGCGGGACGAGCTACCGCATGGTACGAGTCTCACTTGCAGCCCCGACGATATCTGCCAGTTCGGTGCTGCCTCGCCTGCTAGTGTCGATGGAGCGTGCAACATTGGCACGTGCAGAGGACAGTCGTCGCCCACGGCCGTCCTGCGGTGAGTTACAGCAACCACATGACAGGCAATGGGATGTAGTTTTCACATCCGTCGACGAGTGGCGGTGTCGTGCTGCTTGCTGCGCGACCACAAGGCGTTGATGGGAAGACAGGCACACGGTGCGGGGCGTTTTGGACGGCGTTCCCGAGGTGGCGAGTTGCGCGCGGGATTGTAAAGCACCAACGTGCCACCGTACGACCCAACGGCGTACGTTGCTAGGATAACGCAAGGCAATTTCCAGCATGACGCCCACCGACAGCCCCATCGCATCACTCGGTTGCGCTTCCGCACGCTGTACTTTACTCAGGCGTCCCTTGTGTGAAACCCTCGACCGCGTAGTGGGTCGGTTCCCGCGGTCATGCGTTTGGCGGTAGGGGCATTTGACACGTGTGACAATTCGAATCTCGTCCAAAACCTTTTCGTCGTTTGGAAGGAGGCACTCGTTCCATGCACTACGTGTGCCGCCGTCGACGGGAGAGATTCAAGCGCTGTCCGTGTGGCCAAGCGCACACGTCGTCAGGGTGCACGTGACACGCTTTCAACTGGGCGGGAGTCGCGTCGAAAGCGGACCCTTTCAGGACCTGTGGTGGGCTCCTCGCTTGGCCTAGAGCGAGCGACCCACGCGCGTCGTTCCAGGGTTTGTGCCAATGCGTGGTGGATGCAATTCCTTCGATGATTGCACTGGGAGTCGCCGAGATTTCACGCTGCAGCAAGGACAAATTCGTATTGGCTAAAATGATGCATATTCTACCAATCGTATGAAACATCGATATTGATTGGTCAAATATATATGCGACATATCCACAGCACAGGAACATGATGGACGCGGCGGTCGACTGCAACCTGTGTCATGCTGCATGGATCATCTCGATGCCGCGCGAACTGCCGACGACCCGCCTAGTACTCGTACGCCCATGGGTTCCTAGACGAATCAATGAGACCACCATCGAAAACCAAGCGCGCTGTCACGACTTGTTCAAAAAGTCCTCGATCGCGTGGCGCAGCGACACGTTCGGCCGTAGCTGGTGCACGCGGAGGGCTTCTCTCGTCAACGGATCCAACTGAGACCGCGCAATGTGCGCTTCAATCCACTTGCGCTCGTAGCTGACACCGTTGGGAGTCGTCACGGGGTCCGCCATGATGTCCATGCCAATCGGGCAAATAAAGGACTCTGGCACTTGGGTCAACTCGGTCGATTGCTACGCATGACAACGGCACGTCGTGAGGCACCACCACACACCCCTGCAGACAAAACGCCGCTGCACGAAAACTGGCGCAGCGACAGCAGGCAACGGGACGCCGAGTCGACGCGGCCACTACAAAACGTTGCCAAATCCAAACGTTGGTGACAAACTGCCTGGTCGTGCATCATCGTTTCATCATTTCGAATATCGCCACTGCCACGTCCGCGCCAAGTAAGACCACGATCGGTGGCCGAGAGGTACTTCAACGGGTGCCCCCCAACGCGAATTCAAGCCCGTACTGCGGTCCAACGAAACCACGGTCCAATGTGCCGCCGCTTCCACATGACTGTGGCGCGTCGACAACCACGGCCGGCGATGGCAAACGCGATGCAAAATTCCAAGCACATGGGTACGATGTGCAGCAAACGTACATGCATTTCCAACAGCTCCATCATGTGCGCCAACACGGTGTCGTGGTTGCTGTGAACCAGGCTATCGTCGTCCATGAGGTCGTGTCCTTGCATGGCATGCCCAGTCGAAGTGATGACGACGGCAGCAGCGGAACGTACGCTGTGTCTACGTCGGGCAAGCACTTGAGCTCGTGCGTGCGGGACTGGTCGACGATCGTCTGGAATAAAGACATCACTTGGTTGTGGCGACGCCTTTGAGCGTCGTGCGCGGCTTGCCACTTGAGCTTTTTCGCGAGCCTCAACCCCGCCAACACATCCTGCGCAAACGACGAAGCTTTTTGCTGGGATGGGTGTCCGTCGAGCACCGACTGCGCTTTCTCGTAGGCGTCGATCGAGGCGTCGTACTCGTGATCTTGGCACAAACTCTTGCCCAAGAGGTAGTGCGCTATGCACGCACGGATGAAACAGAGTAGAGTGGTCCAGATTGATGCGTCGATGGGCACGCGGTCCACGGCAAAGAAGAACCCCGTGGACGGCGACGTGGGTACCTTTGGCATTTGACCCGTCGATCTCGATGGCGCGTCGGCAATCTGTTTGAGCGGGAACCCACTTCTCTAGCTACAAGCAATGCGTTGGTTCGGTCGCGTGTAGTCGATAGGAGGTGAGAGGGACGAGAACCTCGACACACGAACGATTACGAGAGAGACGAAGTAGCATCACGTACGTAAATGTAGCAAAGCGCACGGTTGGTGTAGAATGCCGCAACGTTCGACTGCAGGCACTACACAGACACAAAAGAGGTCGCCGCGGACGAGCATATGCACACAGCCAACGTACAATGGCTTCTGTGTAATAGTCGATCGCGGAAGCGTACTTTTGCTTTGCAAAGCACTCGTTCCCTTTCTCCTTCATCCGCAGCGCTTGTTCCATCGTGCCGCCGTCGTGTGAAATTCGACTGTGATTCCCGAGACAACGAAATCGGCGGCCTTGCACCTATTTTTTAATTTATTATCTTGAAATTTGTAAGCGGATCGTCTACACGGAATTCAATTTTGTCTCGACCAGCCGAACTCACGACCGTGATGGCGGCGCCATGGCGGCAGAGAACAACGTCTAAGTGCGTCTGCACAGGTCAAGGCGAGATGCACCAGCAGTCAGAGCAAGACACAGCACCTTGCCCTGACAGCGGTGCAAGGACACTTTGGAAAGAGCGAACTGAGCCTCCTCCACCACCAACGATTGAAGCGCCACGACATCATTGTCCACGAAATACATTCAAAACGATGGTGCGACCACAAGCCTACGTCGAATATGTCGGCTTGGATCCTGCCGTGAGCTCAACATACTGCGTCTTCTTCGTCTTGGACTTGAACACGACGACACAGACAGCGATCCCGACGGCGACCGCGGCCGCGATCCCGACCCACCACCACACGGCACCTTCGATCACACCACCTTCGTCTTTCGTTGGGGCAGTCAAGTCGGCGCCACTCAAGTACTCGGACGGATCCTTGGGGTACGCAAACGCAGTGCATGCGCGGTTCGAGTACAAAAAGCACTCAAACATGTACAGGCCGTGGAGGGGGCGCGTCGCCGGGACCATGTGGCCCGCGCCTTTGACCGTTTTGAACGTCACGTTGCCGTAGGTTTCCGTGTACCCCGCGAGCTGCTTGTCCGGGCCAAACCAACTCGACCACTTCTCCGTGGCAGTCAAGTTGAGGCCGACGTCGGTGGCGAGCCAGCGCTGCGTCCCAATAAAGTTGACGACGGAGTCCGCGTCGCCGCTGTAGATGAGCGCTTTCAACCCAGCGTTGAGAATCACCGGGTACTTGTCCAACACAGTCAAGCTCGACGTATACATGGCGCCGACGGGATCGCTGCAGTCGGCATACGACTGCCCCTTGTCGACATGGATGGCTTCGAGGACAACAGGCAAGTTCAAGTACGCGTTTGTGAATGTGTCGGCGCACGGACCGACGACGCCGCGATGGGTGAGCGGACGAATGCTGCCGCGGTACTTGAGGGCTTGCGTCTGGTTGCTTTGAAGGCGGCACACGTCGCCGTAGATGTAATACAGGTCCATGTCGCCATCGTCCATGCTCCAGTCGGCCTCTCGGTACGTCGCCGCGCACAGGTCCGAGCAACCGGGGTAATAATCCTGGCACAGCCACCGCTCCTCGGGCTTGCAATTCTTTTGCACCGCCTCGTACGTCTCGATCGAGATGAGCCCGTGCGAGTAGTAGTAGTCCATGTACGAGCTGTCTACACAAACGCGCACGCATTGAGCACGACGTTTACATGCTGACAGCGCGCATGGCCTTACCGTCGATCTTTTGGTCTGTGTACGGGTTGCCGATGGCGAACCCGGTCAAGTGGAGGCCGGCCACCGGCTCCGTTACGAGTTGGTGCACCAAGAACGGGATATACATGCCGGCATAGCTCTCGCCCGTGATGTAAAAGTCGCGATTCGTGTACTGCGGGTACAGCGCGAGAAATCGCTCGAGAAACTCGCGGGACCGCGCCGCCGTCACGTCGTCATAATAGTCGGACGCGTTCAGGACAGGCTGGCTGAACCCGACGCCGGCCGGCGAATCGAGAAACACCATGTTCGCCTTGCGGTTCCACGCGTACGGGTTGCGCTTGACGCTCATGTCGCTCTGAACGACAAACGGACCCAGCTCGGTGAAGAACCCACCGAGCGACGAGCAGCCAGGACCACCGTTGAGCCACAGCACCAACGGGTCGGTCGACGGACTCGATTCCCGAGACAACAAAATCGGCGGCCTTGCACCTATTTTTTAATTTATTATCTTGCAAATTGTAAGCGCAGCGTCTATACGGAATTCAATTTTGTCTCGACCAGCCGAACTCACGACCGTGATGTCGGCGCCATGGCGGCAGAGAACAAGGTCTAAGTGCGTCTGCACAGGTC